AACTATGATGAATTGGAAAAATGACGTCATTGACTCCTCACCCTTAATTCAGATTCAAAAATCGGTATTTAATAACATTACGTGGATAACTAGATATGAGTGAGATATAGATGATCTGAAACAATTTATCACTTCACTGTCAACAAGCATCCCAATAACTTACATTCACATCGAGTCGACCCGAAGAGAATATATACTAAACGTCCGATAGCTAGGAAGACATGGAGAGCGACTGACTGGAGATGAGAGGTGTCTGGCAACGACGGATAATCTTTCCTGCGTCTTCTTAGTTACTCCAGTCTCTCCTTTTACTCTTTTTCTCTATTCTCAGGTGCTTTGGCTTCTTTGGCCCTTTTCCCGTGCCAGCCGTGCCAGGGGTGCAGTCACACGCCTATATTCACGAGCTCAGAATGGACTACGAAAATGTGTATACTTTGGTTTCTATTGTCACCTGATAGACAGATCAGAGAATAACAAATTTTTGTTTTCAAGAAATCCCAATTTTTGTTTTCAAGAAATCCTTTTCTGCGTCTTCTTAGTTACTCTAGTCTCTCCTTTTACTCTTTTTCTCTGCTTGGAGGTGCTTCGGCTCTTCTGGTCTGTTTCCTGTGCCAGGGGTGCTGTCACACCCCCAAAGCCACGAGCTGAGAAAGGAGTACAAATGAGCTCTGTATATACTTTGGTTTCTCTTACCCGCTCCGAATAATAAATTTTTGTTTATGAGAAACTGTGAATTATGGTGGGAAGTTTATCGTAGTAAATGGGAATTTGAAGCAGGGGTCAGATATGATGAGAAGAAAGAAGATATATTACAGATAACAAACTCCTCTTAGAGCCTGTCGAGCAACATAAACATCTTCAATGCTTCGGGAAAATGCTTAAATATAATTTCATCATCTATACAAACAGTATCCCTTCAAAGAATAACACATATTTGTGAAATCAGTTTGAAAAAATACAAAGGAACATTGGCCTGGGATATTTTAAACCTGTATTACTTGCTCCCAGAATCATTTTCGTCAAAAGTTGATAAGGTTTTCGTTTGCACCTATCGGTGGTATGGTGCTTCAGGTGATCAAGAGGATTAACGAATTTTCAAATGCCCACGACAGTGTTACATAAAGTCACCGTAGATTACATAATCGAGCTCCAGTGGCTTTTCAGACAAAGATAACTGTATTAGTAGGAGGAAACGAAACAGCAAAACGAAAAACTCACGAGAGTCAGCTGGACAAGGATGGTTCCCCGACAATAAGAACGTTGAGACACTACGATTAACTGGAACGAGCAGAATCTCGTGTTTCATTTTCTCATAAGTCATTCTTCATTCATCTTCATTTTCCCGCATGATAATTTTTCTTTGAAATATTTTCCACCAAGTTTTTTTTGGAATTTTTCCACCTTTTCGGTTGATTTCCCCAAACTGGATTCAGTTCATCATAAAAACTTTTAGTTTTTATCTTTGTTTTTTTTATATTTGGCTCCCATTTGAACTTCGATCAGCCCATCAAATGAGACAATCGTATGTTCTTTTTTGTCTAAACAATACAAAAAAAGTATATACATTTTATTAAATTTTCATAACGTAAAAATAACTAAAATTACATTTTTGGATAGGACGGTAAACGTCAAAGTCTTCACACGAGAAACAAAAATAAACTATTGGGCAAACATGCTGGTGCAAAAGTTTCAACTCAACAACTAAAGCTATACATAAAAAACAAATACATTTTTAAGCGAAGATGTTAAGCTGGCAAATTGGTACAATCAATATCTATTTACAACAATAGCAACGAAGATGTAGATGAAGATCTTTACAATTATTAACAAGCGGGAATGACTAAATCAGGGAGCGAGGTAAATGTTCTATATTAGTCACTAGAGAAGAAGGCTGTCTTGAAATTGTTTCTATAGAAAAAATAAAATGGCTATTAATGATAATACAATTTATTTTGGACTAGATTGCTCTTCTTCTTCTTAGCTTTTAACGGGTTAAGGATAAAGACCTCAGAAACTTTCAAAAGTTATCAATTGATTACAAATGGAAAAGCTAACCATTGAAACACATGATAGCACAATAAGAATGATGAAAAGATACAATAGAAAAAATGTTTAATTTGAGGAAAATAAAACCCATTGACAAAGAAGACTGCCAAGCCAGACGGCTGTCGAAATTGCCTGAGTAGACCCGTTGATTGTGATGAATATACGGTTGAATGAAGTGGTTATTGTGCGATTCTGGAAAAATTATACTAAATTCAACAAATGTCCTTATCGATTCTTTACCTTTATAAAGACCTAATGAACTTGATATTGAATAACATGACGTGGATAACTAGATATGATTGAGATATAGATGATCTGGAATAAATTATCACTTCACTGTCACCGAGCATCCTAATAACTTACGTATACATTGAGTCGACCCGAAGAGAACACCTACTAAACGTGTGATAGCTAGGAGGACATGAAGAGCGAATGACTAAAGCTGAGGCGGGTCTGGCAACAACGATAATCTTTCCTGCGTCTTCTTAGTTACTCCAGTATCTTCTTTTACTTTTTTCTCTGCGTGGAGGTGCTTCGGCTCTTCTGGTCTGTTTCCTGTGCCAAGGGTGCAGTACAACGAGGGATAATCCGTCTGTGCGCCTCCTTAGTTACTTTTATATCTCGCTTATAATCCTTTTCTCTTCCTCTGTTCTCAGTTGCTCTGGCTCTTTTGGCTCCTTTCCCGTGCCAGGGGGTGCAGCCACATGCCCATATTCACGAGCTTGGATCAGACTACGAATATACTCTGTATATACCTTGGTTTCTATTGTCACCTTATAAACAGAGCAGTGAATAACAAATTATTGTTTTCGAAAAATCGAAAATTGTTGAGAGAAGCTTATGAGAGTGGATGGGAAATAAAAAGCAGGAATCAAATAAACTGAGAAAAATGATATATACAACAGGTTGAAAAATCCTCTCAGAATTTGACCAAAAACGTTAAAATCTCCAATGGATCTGAAAAAAAAAACAGAAACTTAATGGAGTCTACAAATTAACAACTCCATATCAGTATTTCGCTTCATAGAACTACACAGTTTCCGGTCAACAGTTCAAAAACGTTGAAGAGAAAGAGGACATGAAAAAGTTGTTTGAATCTATTTCAGAATTTAGTATGTCATATAAAGTTGTTATTGGTTGAAAGCTCAAAATCCCAACGAGATCAATTTTCGTACTTTTGAAGTTTTTATGAACACAGTATAGTCAGAAAATATGTATGGTCACCCCTACCATAACTCCATGTTGCCGTACAAGCGAGAACGCGAACGTTCTTCTAAACGGCGGCACACTCCTCGTTTTATAGCCGTTTTAGCGGCAGTAGACGGCAGGCGCCGTTTGGTGTAGAGGTGAACGCGCTTGTTTTTTTTTCTGTTTTCACGCGCTGACAGAATATCGACAAAAAGTCTGGAATTATCGCCTAACATTTACGAAATCTTGTGTGTACTAAAAAAAATAAATGCTCGTCAAGTAGTGCGCATTTGCCGCAATCGCACGACTTTCCATCAGAATGCATGATCTCGCCACAAGAAAACCCCGTAGAATTTCGTGACCGGCCTCTTTTAAGTTTCACGTTTTCAGGGTGACTTGAAACTTCTTGAATCCGCCATTTTTCTGAAATGTTTTCTTGCGATTTTATAAGATTTTCCTGAAACTAGAATCAATATAAACATTCGAATGTTTTGTCTTAGTTTTTTATATTCGGATACTTCATTGAATTTTACTACGTGAATATACATAAAAATAAATTTTGCTTCGCATCGTTGCATGATAAGTGAAGAAGTGCGACCATGAACAAGAACTATTTTGGTGAAGACGTTCAGGATGAAGTCTCTACAACTAAATCTGTACATAAGAAAACAGCTTGGAAAACATACAACCAAAAACAAAAACAACTTTTTGAGTGGTGCTTATTACGGTGAAGTCATGTAAGTGAAAAATTTAACTGCAAAAGCAGCAACTAATCGTGAACTTTTATAAACAGAAGAAGTAAATGAAAATTAAAAAAAACAAAACATTCGAAAAAAATTTGAAATTCGAGAAAAATAGAACCCATTGACAAGGAAGACTGCCAAACCAGACGGCTGTCAAAATTGCTTGAGTAGACCCGTTGATTGTGATAAACATGAAGTGTAGTATGTTTGAAAGAAGTGGTTATTGTGAAATTCTGAACAAAAATTATATTGGATTCAAAAAATGACGTCATCAATTCCTCACCTTTAATCAGATCCAATGATATTGATATTAAATAACATGACGTGGATAACTAGATGAAATTAGGATGTAGATAATCTGAAATAACTTATTCTTTCAGTGTCAACAAGCATTCTAATAACTTACATTTACATTGAGCCAGCCCGAAGATAATATAGACTAAACGTCCGATAGCTAGGAGGACATAAAGAGCGACTGACTGGAGCTAAGGCGTGCCTGGCAACGACGGATAATCTTTCCTGCGTCTTCTTAGTTACTCCAGTCTCTCCTTTTACTCTTTTTCTCTATTCTCAGGTGCTTTGGCTTCTCTGGCCCTTTTCCCGTGCCAGCCGTGCCAGGGGTGCAGTCACACGCCTATATTCACGAGCTCAGAATGGACTGCGAAAATGTGTATACTTTGGTTTCTATTGTCACCTGATAGACAGATCAGAGAATAACAAATTTTTGTTTTCAAGAAATTCAAAAATGTTGAGAGAAGTTAATCAGAGTGGATGGAAAATATAAAGCAGGGATCATGATCAAAAATATGGAATTACGTAACTTTTCCACCAGATACTGTCATAACATGATATTCTTGAATAAATTAAAAAACTATCATGTCATTAGGTACTTGAATTGTGTGAATCGAGTTTTGGTACAGTTTTAGTGCGTTTGGAGTATCCGCAATAGCTGTTAGCAATCTGGAAAATGAATTAAAAGAAATTTATGCATTGAACTTTATTCACAAACACAACATTTCAAGTTTATTTCATTGGAACACCCAATCCGGAGGACTCATTGTTGAACTCGGCGTATCCAAGACGTCTTATTTTCGCGACATTTGTACTTTTCCATCCAGCGTTAGTTATATTGATGTTATAGGTCCTGGTGTACTCTCTGAAAACAAAATTATTCAGTGGATCCACTTTTGAAACGTATTTCTTTTAAATCACATTGTAAAAATCTGATTAGTTATTTAAAAATATGGCGAAACCTTCTGTGAAAACTTTTCAAAACTTACCCTCCCGTGATCCGGAAATTGCCCATATAGTAGTAGTAGGTGTTGAAGGGACGATCATACGAATTGCAGTTGTGAATTATCTGGAGGTAGAGCTCGAAGTAGTTCTGAAAATGTTAGTTCGAATTTTAATGACATTAATTTTTGAAGCTGTGGAACAAAAGTCGAGCTGAGTTATGAGAAAAAGTATAAATACTTTTTAAAAAACTGTGATCGACTTTTACGCTTTTCATCTAAATTCATCCCAATAAAGTTCTAAACTAACATCCCACACTCCATCCCAAACGTCTTTTCCCTCGATATGGAAACCGACTGTTCCGTGACCGTATCCGGATCTCATATTTCCAATTGCTTCATCACTGAAAATCATAATTAATCAGTTTCAGAGAATTCTGCAAATGCTTGCCTTACAAGAAAAGGTCATCTTCGAAAAGTGTGACGTGGTAGTCATAGTTCTTGTTATAGTTACAAATCAGAGAACCACCAATGTAAACTTGGTAAGAGTTTCCACTTGGATAAGCTAAGGCGTCCAGAATAGAAAGAAGACGAAGAATTTTCCCATTTTTGGATATGGTATGGGGGAGAAGGGGAGATAGGGCCTTTTTATAGTTGAAGAGATAATCTGATTTTTTCGTGAACATCGATTGGAAAATGATCGTAAGAATGATTCAAAAATGATTTGTTTTTTCTTCTTTTTCCCAACAAAAAATTGGAGAAACTTTACGATCATTTTCAAATCAAAAAACGCACGACGCGTTTCAGTGTAACATTTGCAATGTCTTTTTCCGAAGGGAATTTGAAAAATTAAATGACGCATATGGATATTTGAAGCAAGTATAATAATACCAGATCATCCAACTCTAAACCAAATAAAGCGTATCCAAATTGTCGTTGAGCTAAACCAAAAAAATATAGAAGCACCTTTTTTTGTTTCCCTATATTATTGCTAACTGTGTAAAAACGCTTTCAGAGTTTTCATGAAAGTCTTCTTGGAATTTATTATCATTATATTCGGACACCTTTTGCACCTCAATCAGCTCTCGAATAGAAAAACCTTATTTTCTTGTTTAGTCATGCATTTGAAAAAAAAACCAAGTTTTTAATCTTTATCAAACTTTTATGAGAAAAACGTAAATGAGAATAAATTTTTGGCTCACTGTGTAGAGTGCCAGTTGGTAATGATAATAGAAAAATAAATTTCAAATTTCTGGAAGGCTTCGTCGATGATGAGGTAGTACAGAGAAGTAAATAAGACTATATATTTGGGATCCAGCGCAGATTGATAGTTGGTTACTAAAAACAAAAAAAAACATTTTGGACGACGAGGTGCGTGGAATGGTCTTTACAACTAAAACTATACATTAAAAAAAATCAAGAAAAAAAAAACAAAACTACATTTCTGGATGGTTACGTCGGTGGTGTTCTAGTAAAGAGAATTAAATAAATATCTATTTCTGGGATATTGCGCAGAGTGCCAGCTGGTGACAATAAAATACAATTTAAAAAATTTAGGGTGAAGACGTTGAGCACGAAGTCTCAACAACAAAAACTATACATTAAAAAACATTTTGGCAGATGACAGCTTCTTTTTTCTGCCAGAAACAGAAAAAAAACGGCTTTCAATTAATTATTAACGTAAGCATGAATTAAAATGAGGACAAAAAAGATACAATAGAAAAAATGTTTAATTTGAGGAAAATAAAACCCATTGACAAAGAAGACTGCCAAGCCAGACGGCTGTCGAAATTGCCTGAGTAGACCCGTTGATTGTGATAAACATGAAGTGTAGTATATGGTTGAATGAAGTGGTTATTGTGCAATTCTGGAGAAATTATGCTAAGTTGCATATATGACGTCATTGATTCCTCACCTTATTCCAAAATATCGATATTGAATACATGACGTGGATAACTAGATATGAATGATATAGATGTTCTGAAATACATTATTAGTCCACTGTCGACAAGCATTCTAATAACTTACATTGAGTCGATCCGAAGAGAATATATACTAAACGTCCGATAGCTAGGGGGACATGAAGAGCGACTGACGAGAGCTGGGGCGTGCCTGGCAACGATGGATAATCTATCTCGCTTCTCTTAGTTACTCTTATATCTCGCTAATAATCCTTTCCTCTTTTTCTCTGTTTGGAGGTACTCAGGCTTCTTTGGCTAGCTCTGGCATCTTTCCCGTGCCAGGCGGTGCACATGCCCATAGTCACGAGCTTAGAAGGGACTACGAATATGTATATACTTTGGCTTCCTTTACCAGCTGATAAAGCGCGCGGTGAATGACAAATTTTTGTTTATGAGAAACACACGAATTTTGAGAGAAGTTCATCAGAGCGGATAGAAAATGTGAAGCAGGGATCAGATATGATAAAAAGAAATTATGACGAATTTATTATTGTTCTAATGGGGAAGATTTGTTATGACTGACACCATTTGGACATTTACTAGTTAGAGGACAATAGGGAATGATTGCATTTGATATTTTAAACCAGTTCCACGAATAATTAAAATGTATCATTATTACATGCTCTTAGCATCAGATTCGTCGAAGGTTGATAAGTTTTTGTTCGCGCCTGTTGATGTTGTGATGTTTCAGGCCATTAGGAGAATCAACGAATTTTCAAAAGCCCTCGACATCATTACCGGAAGTCACCGTAGATTATATAATCGGTCTCTCGTGGTTTTTTCGACAAAGATTTGGTAGGAACAAACGAAACATGAAAACGAAACACTCACGAGAGTCGGCTAAACAGAGAAGACACCATCTCGCCTTTTCCTAGTTAGCGGGCACAAGGAATATTGGCTTGTGATATTTTAAACCATTAGCCGATGGAAAAAATGCTCCGACAACAACCACATTGAGACATTGAGACACGACAACAACCACATTGAGACACTACGGTTAAATGAAACGAGCTGAATCTTGTGTTTCATTCTTGCGTAAATCATTGATCACGAAGTGTTGTGAAAATGAAATGCCGATCGGATTAAATGGAGGTTTGATCCAAGTACTACCGGCACTCTTCTAGAATCACGGAACAAGAAAAAAACCACGGAACGAAAAAATCACGGAACGAAAAATAAAATCACGGAACGAAAAATAAAATCACGGAACGAAAATTTTGGGTAATCCAAAAATTGTTAGAACCTTCATTCAAGTACCATCCTGAGATCTTACCTTGACATTACATTTTCTTTGCTCAGTATCCAAAATGACACCCGAAATGTGGTGTATTGAGTCCTTAAGGTACACTAGTTGATAGTGTACATGAACCTTTCCCAGATGTTCTGGGGATCATGGGACATATGGGAGTTAGATTAGAGGCTGCAACGAGCAGAGTTATTAAACTTGCCGTCGTTTTTTGGTTGTACCACATGAAGGAAACACGATGATTCAGCCTAAGTCAATAATTGAAGAAACCTTTTCTAATTCAAAATTAGTCTTCTTGGAACAAAATGTTGGTCCGGAATAAGAATAGCCTTAGGCCAAATTGAGTAAAAATCTTGGCATGAAACTTCTTGTCTCGGATTTCTCATTTTTCAAAAATTGGATGATATTTTTGGATTGAGGAAGCTTTCTTCAATCACAGGCTTAGGCTGAAACGCCATGCTTCTTTTATCTGGAACACCCTTAAATGTCAGCAATCTCAATAACTGTTTGATGTAGCTTTAAACTGAATTTTCAGATGTTCTACAGGTCCTATGTAACCTGTTACCTAGCGTATCTTATGAAATTGATAAACCCTATTTTAGTATACTTTTGGGTATTGGACAAAGTAAAATTGATGCCAAAGTCAGTATTATGGATACTACTTGTCAAAGTGAAGAAGATAGCAATTTTTTGGATTACCCAAAATTTTCGTTCCGTGATTATATTTTTCGTTCCGTGATTTTTTTTTCGTTCCGTGATTCTAGAAGAGTGCCGTACTACCAGGTTTGATCCAAGTACTACCAAAATATCCGAGTTTGAAGCAATTGAAGGCAATCCAAGATGTCGTTTGGCTGCATCGGAAAAGTGTGAAGCCACATTTTTTAATTTTATTAAATTATTGCATTCCCTGTAAATTCTTTTATACAGTTTCCGTGGAAGTCTTCCTGAAACTTGAAAGAGTTCATTATAAACAATTCAGAGGCCGTATTCATGAAGATTTACTTTTAGGTAAATAGAACGTGTAAATGATTTACAAAGAGAAAAATAGAGTGATTGGTATTCATGAAAGATTTGTAAAAGAAAGCATTTTCCTTCAGATTTACAGTGACTTTTCTTTCACGTCACTGACATTTTCTTTTTCTTCTAGATTTTTCAATGATAATTTTTTGTGAATATTTACACCTGTAAATCGATTTACCAAAAAATGGATTTACTCGAAGTAAATATTTACCCTTGTAATCTAAATTCAAATATTGTTTTTCACAGTAATTTACAAAAATATGGCAGAGTTGAAAAAAGCTATTACTTAACCTTATGTTAAAAATAGATCTCTAAATCTTTGGCAAAGCTAGACCTTCATTTGACAATTAACTTTTTTTCTGCTTAATAGCATCCGTTCTCTTTGGGAACAATAATAAATAGTTACATTGACTCAAGGCCAGTCATAGGTCACCTCTAGAAATGGTCCGAAAAATGAAAAATTGAGAATATTTCGTTTTTACCAAACATAAAAATAAAAAGCGGAAACGGTCTAGAAATTGTCAGAAAAATGCTACTTTTGTCATTTCATTAACTTTTGAAGTGATTTTTTGGGGATGTGCAACTTTTTTGATTTTTTTTTGATTTTTTGAAATCTAGAAATGTTGTGTGCCTATATAATATTCTCAGTTTCATCATAATTCAAAGTTTTATTTTCAATATTTCAACTTTATTATAATGAGTTTCATCCAAACAGTAAGGAAAATCTTATTTTCTAACCCCCAACGTTGGTAAATAAAATCAAGTCAGTAAATCACTTACCAATAGGAAAATAATTTTCATGAATACCAATCACGTTATTTTCCAATGTGTAAATCAATTTTCCTTTTAAAATGTTTTAAAAGTAAACGTTATATTTTCCTTTTGTAAATATTTTCCTTGGTAAATGCACTTACCTAGGTAAATGTTCATGAATACGTTCGTTCATGAATAGGATCAACATGTTCTTTTCCATTCTAAAAAACGCATCGTGGAGTGTTTTTATAAAATGCTATACAATTTACATACGCCCTTTACTCGAATATGGAACGATAGTCACTTCTCCAATCCTAAAGGATCATATTATAAAATTGGAATCGGTGCAAAAGTCATTTGTTTTCAGAGTTTTCAAAAAATTCAGGATGGCATACACTTCATACTTTGAAGCACTGGAAGAATGTTAGCTAAGTTCCTTGGAGTATCGCAGGCTCTATAATGATTTGGTCTACACGTATAAAATTATTGTTTCCAAAGAAATTATCATGGAGGTTCCAATTTTCGAAATATTTAATCATGCTGGATCATTGCGACGTCACAAATACTATCTCAAATCACTTATCAAAAACTCAACAAAAATATCTTCTCGATTTCTCTCTAATATAGTAATCAGATGTTGGAACTCTTTACCCGTCAAAGTGTGTCCGGTGGAGCCCTCGTCAGCGGCTTTCAAAAATCGACTATTATCCTGTGATCTAAAACATTTTCTTGTCTTGAATTCAACTAATTACTAACTCGGTTTATCCTTTATCTCCCAATTACTACAAATGTATGTCCCTGTTATATCTCCTAGTTTCATAGACATTTCACGTGTTAGTGGTTTTCTCCCCTTCGTTGAAATAAAATAAATAAATAAATAAATAAATACGGCCTCAGTTCTTTTGTCTTTGTGTCTTATATTTGGCTCCATTTTGAACTCCAATCAGAACTTGAATAGGGAAACTTTATTTTCTTTTTCATTCACACATTTGAAAAAAAAGAAAGTTATCAATCTTTATTTAATTTACATGAAGAGAAAATGAATCGGGACAATTTTTGGGATCCAGCGCACATTGCCAGTTGGTTACTAAAAACAAAAAAAAATTTGGACGGCCAGGTGGATGGAATAGTCAGTACAACTAAAACTATACATCAAAAAAAAAACAATTTGGCTGCGATGGCGGTTATCTTGCTGGTCCAAAAACAAAAAAAACTTATCTCTAAATTAGCAATATCCTGCCGCAGAGGTATTCAAAAAATGAGTTAGGTAGAACATTGTAAGAGGGAAACAAATTTGATGTGGAAACATAAACAAAAAACGCTACTCATCAAATAAACAAATTCTCAACTCTAACTCAAATTAGACTCGTCTTCTTGCTCTTAGCTTTTAACTGCTTCTTGAAATGATTTAACAATTTTTTAAAAGACTATCAAATAATAATGAACAACTATTAAGAAACATATAAGTAGATGAGTACAAAAAAATGGTACAATAAAGGATAATTTGAAATTCGAGAAAAATAAAACCCATTGACAAAGAAGACTGCCAAGCCAGACGGCTGTCAAAATTGCCTGAGTCGACCCGTTGATTGTGATAAACATGAAGTCTGTATATGGTAGAATGAAGTGATTATTGTGCAACTCTGGAAAAATTATATTGAAATGGAAAAATGACGTCATTGTTTTCTCACCTTGAAGAATATAAAAAGTTGATGTTGAATAACATGACGTAGATTAAGATATAGATGATCTGAATCAAATTATTACTTATTTAGAAAAGCATTCTAATAACTTACATTTACATTGAGTCGACCCAAAGAAAATATATACTAAACGTCCGATAGCTAGGAGGACATGAAGAGCGACTGGGGAGAGCTTAGGCGTGCCTGGCAACCACGGATAATTTTTCTGTCGTCTTCTTAGTTACTCCAGTTTCTCGCTTTCTCTTTTTCTCTAATCTTAGCTGCTCTGGCTTCTCTGGTCCCTTTCCCGTGCCAGGAGGGTGCATTCACACGCCCATTATCACGAGCTCGGATAAGACTACGAATATGTATATACTTTGGTTTCTTTTATCATCTGATAAACTGCGTGGTGAATGACAAATTTTTGTTTATGAGAAACCCGCAATATTCGAGGGAATTTAAAGCAGAGATCAGTTATAAATCCTCTTATTTGCTTAAAAGTTTCGAGTTCCGTAATTGTAAAAATCATACTTGCTAAATCTTGGCCCGGCAAGGGTTGGGCGTGGCCCGGCCCGGGTTCCGAAAATTTCGAAAATTTTCAGTTGATTTTTGATAAACTTTTTTGAAAATAATTCTAAAGCACGAAATTTTTCCCAGGACCCTTCTCAAAGCTGAAAACAAAGCAACTTTAATAAAATGCTCCCAAAAATCCAGGTTTCTCTCAAAAAATGACTCTTAAAAATCGTTGCCTCAATAACCCGGGCCAGCCGGGCCGGGCCGGGCCAGGGACGGGCCAGGCCAGTGGAAATTCCTCCACCGGCCCGGTCCGGCTCGCGACATGTATGGTAACAATGAAGAAATCTGTCAATGCCTCTCTAAACAAACATCTGCGATGAATCTGGAAACACAGAAACATAATCAACGCTAATTAGCAAATTGATAGCGTCGCATTTTGTAATTTCAGATCTATGTTGTTATTAGCACTCATCACTTGGACAAACAGTAGCTACACAGTTTCATACAGTCAGTTTGAAAACGTTCAAAGTATATTTTCGAAGTACTGTAATGCAACAAATAAAAATATTCAGACTATGAGTT